TGTGCAAAACACCATCTGCAGGTTTATAGGCTCTGACATCTAAAGACAGATTGGCACTGGAAGTCAAGTGGTGTCCCTGCCAAAGAACTGACAGTTGGAAAGAGCTAGCAGCGTTCTCTGGTTATGCCAATGTTTTGAAATCTAGTTTTGCATAATACTGCAATCCAGAGCCTGAAACATTCATGTCTTCTTCTAGTGATGTCACCCTTCCTGGCTGGCACTGGAAACAAAGGTGCTAGAGAGTTGGCATGGCCCTCAGGGTGGGCACTGTCCTTTAAAAGGAATGTGGTCAGGGAGAGACAGGCTAGGTGGGGAGCACGGTGCTGACTGTGGACCTGGAAAATGGCGTTGTTAGGTGGGAAGGTGGGAAGAGCTGTGTCTCCTGAATAGAGAAAAAACTAAAGGAGAAAGAAAACAGTAGTTTTCTTTCAGTAGTGTAGAACAGTAGTGTTAAGTCTGTAAGTGTCTTCAAAGAACATGGGAATAATCTGTTGAGGTACGTGGTGGGTAGAAACAGTAATAATGAATTTAAATTAAAACAAGTGAGGTTTAAATTAGAATAAGAATTTTGGCTCTAAAAATAGCAAAAATCTGGAGTAGAAGGTGGAGCCTCTGTTATTCAAACTGTCCTTAAATACCTCAAACAAAATAAGTTGAGGATGGCTCAGAGCAACTTTTTCTCCTTAGCCTTATTTTTTTCTGGGGGCTGGTATATGAGAAACAAGCTATTTATATCTGTTTTTCCTTCCTTTTGAAGAGTGAGATTTAGTTTTGCTACCTTGTATGTGCTCAGATTCTCTCTGATTAGGTGAGGTTGTGCTGTGAGATGGCAGCCTTCAATGGAAGCATGTTTATTCAGAGCAAAAAATTTGAGAACTTTTTTCAGTTTTGGCAGCCAATGTTTAAACCTTCCCTTCTAAGAAGTGGAAAAAAGATTACCTTGTATTAAATGAAGGCTTGAATATAGGTTTTGATTCTGCTGCAGGCTTCCTAAGTTATCTTGGTTAACTCTCTAATACAAATTAGTACATCATGGTGAGGACAATAAAATTTATCCTTCAGAGGAAAGAGCAGAAGACAGACTGTGAAACTGTACTTTCTTAGTGGTAAGGACAATTTCTTCTCTGTATGGACCCTAATAGCTGCAGACACAGTAACACGTGATGACTTAATGCTACTGCAATAATTAGTAATCTTCCTTTGTCAAGATTTGGGATTGCCAATGTCATCCAAATATAAAAATCTCCCAGACAACACTTCCCAGATGAAACACAGTAATAATGTCTTTACAGAGTTCAGAAGAATTGAGAAGAGTGAACTGTGGATCTAACACAGATAGGCACACTCACATGAACCCAAGGCTTTGTCACTCAGGTGTTTGCTGTTGAGAACTTGTTATTCACAGGTGTAGAATCATAAAATCATTTGAGGTGAAAAGGACCTTTTAAGGCCATCTGGTTCAAATCCTCTGTGTTGAACAGGAATGCCTATAGCTTGATCAGATAGCCTGCCTCACTTTGGGTGTCTCTAGGGACTGGGCACCTGCCACCTCTCTGAGCAACCTGTCCTTGTGCTTCATTGCCTTTATCGTACGAAAATCTTGTTTCTCATATCCAGTCTAAATCTCCTCTCTCTTAGTTTAAAACCATTTCCCTTTGTCATATCACAACAGACCATCCTAAAGAGTCTGTCCCCTTCTTACAGCCCCCTGGTAGATACCAAAAGGCTGCTATCAGCTCTTCACAGAGTTGTCTTCTCTCCAGGCTGCACAGCCTCAGCTCTTTCAGCCTGTCCTCAAGGGAAGCTGTATCATCCCTCGGGTAGTTTTTTGTGGCCCTCCTCTGGGTGCACTCCAACAGGTCCACGTTTCTCCTGTACTGAGGACTCCCTACCTGGACGCAGCACTCCAAGTGAGGTCTCACTAGCCCAGAGCAGAGGGGCAGGATCCTCTCTCTGACCTTCTGACCACTGCTTTGGGTGCAGCCCATGATACAGTCGGCTTCCTAGGCTATGAGGACACATTGCTGGCTTGTGTCCAGCTTGCTATCTGCCAGTACCCTGAAGTTCTTTTTGTCAGGGCAGTGCTCTATCATCTCCTAGCTTCTATTAATAGTGAGACCATGACACAAGTGAAAGACTTTGCACTTTCCTTTGTTGAACCTCATGAGGTTCTTCTGTGCCCACTGCTCAAGCCTATTTGGGGGTCTCTGCATGGTGTCCCATCCTGCAGGTGTGTTGAATACAAGCACACTGCATAGCGTCTTATCGCTTAGTGCAGCATTTTTGAGTCATTACCAATGGTGACTTCATTTTGGGAAGTACTGTCCTACGAATAGGGCATGACAGCACTGGGATCTTTGTGCTGGAGGTAACCCGGATTTATCTGATGGACACTTCTTCCTCTGCTTGCTGGTTTTTATTTTGGCATCAATCACAACACAGACTTGGTAGGCAGAATATCCACAGCAATGGCAGGTTGAAGAGATCTGCAGGTGCCTGATGAGCTAGACAAGCTTTCTGACAGGTGAGGATGTATTGCTCTTTGGAAAAGGGGATTCCTTGTCTTGCTCAATTTCTATGTTCAGGAACTACCCTTAGGGTTTTATATCTTCTTATGTTGGCAATTTTTTGTTCTTGACATACTAACTGTTATCTTATCAGCAACTTCCATTCTGTGTTGTCTCCTCTTAACTTTCCCTGCACGATAATAGCTTATAGACTATTGCAACTAATCAGAGCTCTCCAGGGAGTCCACTCTTACTCAGCTCTCCACAGAGTTGGAGGTTGATCCATTTAGCAATTGGATTTTCCACGAGGGGGGAAAAAAAACCCCAACAACTGAGTTAAGCAGGAGATTCAGTGTGAAAATTCTTGTGGTTACAATTTTGGAAGATGGAACTTGAAATGAATTTGCGAAACTGTTTCTCTCTTTTGATGAATGCTATTAAAAGGAAATGGATTTTTCTTTCCCACATATTTCAGCTACTCTTCTCAATAGTTTTATTTTTTCCCAATGTAAGTTAAAATTGTTAGAGAATCGAAGAAGTAAAAATCTGTAATGCCGAAAGGGCCAAGTTGTGAAATGTATCATGAACATTCCATTAGAACAGCCCTTGCTAATCAATCATCTTAGTGGCCCTCCTCTGTACCTGCTTCAAGAACTCCACATCCTTCCTGTACTGGGGGCCCCAGGCCTGGATGCAGCACTACGGATGGGGCCTCAAATCAGATTGGCTGCCTTTGATCCTGTGTAGAGTTTGTAAAAACCTTACCCACCTAAACTTGTCTGCAGCTTGTTACATTTATGCATCTGCCACAAGGCCAAAAATCAGCAAGCTGTAATTCACTCAAACTCCAGTGGTTCAACGTATCGCACACAGGCGGCGGAGCCTTCAGTAAGAGGATGGGAAGAGGAGCTGAGGGCAGGCTGAGCGGGTCTGGGTGCTCTCCATGTGCCCTGCTTCTGCTTGCAGGTGTTGTACAGGCACTGGCTGCGTTGTGGTCCTACACGTGTGTTGCTGATGTGGTTGCAAAGCAATTTGGATTTTTCCAGTGGAGCACATTTGGGGTGCAGCCTCCCTCCTGTGGCCTGCTGGGCAGTGCCTGAGGTATGGGACAGCCAGCCCTGGCATCAGGGAGTGCTAGATCTGAAATCTAGTAACACGAGGAGCTAATTATTGCCTATGAAAATAACACAAGTCTATGTTCTGCTGGGTTTTTTTAGATCAGAGCTTTGTTTCCGCAACTGTGTGTTTTATCTGCATTGGTTAGCTACCGTTCCTGGATACCTGCATCCCACTGAGGGCTGCTGCTGTGGTGCTTCTTCCTGCTGAGACGGAGGCAGAGCTTCATTGTAGTCCTCTTTTCGTCAGCAATCAGGGACTCAGTCGCTGTTCCTTGTGAAGAAAAGACAGGTTAAACATGTATCCTCTCTCACCCAGGTTTACCTCCTGCAGAAGGTGGGAGAATGTCGCTGTCTAAAGCACCATCTCTGCCTAGTGGCTTCTGTGGTGCCGCGACTTATCAGTGCAAACCTGCATTGCTGTGTATGCTGAAAATGAATAGTTTGGAGTGTGTGTAATAGTTGGATCGGGCGTGCAGGAGAATGAGTTTCAGAGAGGCTTCACCAAGGGCGGGACTGGGTAAGGAGAGTCAGTGAAGGGTTCAGCTCCCCTGGGAACTTGTGTCACAGCATGGTATATCCTTTGCCAGAGGTGTAGTGAATGACGGGGAGAATTATCCGGGTTTCTGCGGGAATAGTGGGAAATAGTGGTGGTAGTGGATGGTTGGAATGGATAATCTTGAGGTCTTTTCCAGCCTTGGTACTTCTGTGATTCTAAAGCCGTCTCACCACAGCACTGGGAGCTGGCTTTAGGGGCATCTCCTTGAGCAGGACACTCAGGGACAGAGCGTTTCTCCCATGTTTGTAGAGGCCGAGGCTTGCAGAACAAATGGACCCTCACGGAGAGGCGGGCTGGTCCCTGCCCAGCTGTAAACGAGAGTCTCTGCTTCAAGCATCCATGCAGTGGCCTCTTCAACTGCATGGGGTGTGGTTTTCCATTGGAGCGAGCTTCCACCTGCTTGCTGAGCAGTGTTTTCTCCATGTTCAGCCTGCTCAGCTCTGCGGCAGGTGGCAAGTAGGGCATCACTCGTTTTGTAGACACCTTCCAGGACAGGGACGCGGAGCTGCAGATGTTTGCGATGGAATCTGTTGTGCCCAGCCTGCCTGGCTGTTTTGTGAAGGAGTGCATCTCTGCAGCAGCGCGTCTCTGCGGCCGCCTCGTGCCGCTGATAAAGACAGCCCCTGCCTACTCAAAGGTCAGGAACGTTTGTGAATCTTGCTGTATCCCAAGAAAGCCCAATTCAGAGGACTCTGCAGCGAGCAAACTCTTTTTTGTTCGATCTCTGTCAAACCCCTTGGGAACTAAGAATTGCACCACTGCTGTTGATCCAGAAGCTGGTGCATTAGTTTCACCAAAAGAAGGTCACACATACCACTGTTTTGTTTTTTTTGTTGTTGTTGGGTTTTTAATGTTTATTACATTTTAATAAAACATATGCATGGATGAAATAATGGTTTGTACTGATTTACGTTAACTATGTTTTCTGTGTGGCTGAAGACAATTCCTCTTCACCCCTTGTGGGCCAGGCATCTAAAAGGCTGGATTCCCGTGGCATATGTAGAAATGTCAGTGGCCAACTAGGATATGAGTGTAGCTGTCTGTGTCTCCTGGCTGCTCAGAAAGGGGTCTTTATGGTCTTGCTGTGCAACCACTGCCTTAAGTAAGCAGTTTCTTTTGAAATCCCTCAGATGTAAGGTGCTGTAGTGGCTGCTTCCCGAAGAAATGGGTCTCTGCAGCAGCGCGTCTCTGCGGCCACCTCGTGCCGCTGATAACAACAGCCCCTGCTTACTCAAAGGTCAGGTACGTTTGCGAGTCTTGCTGTATGCCGAGAATGAGCTCAATCCAGAGGGTTTTGCTGGTGGCGGTGGTCAGCTTGAGCTTGCAGTGTCGGCTGGAGGGCAGCAACTCGAGGTTCATTGTGGCCGACTGAGGCATAGCCACCCAGGCTTCCATCACCAGTTCCTGGAACCAGGTTGCGGTTTTCTCCATTTCCAGGTAGGAGTCGACGCAGAGGGTTTGTAGGAGGCTGGGCATCTGCTCTCTCCTCAGCTGGTCCTCAGGGTGGTGGAGGAAGCAGGTCATGTGCGGCATGTGCTGCTCCCTTGCGCACATGCACTGGAGCTCCACGCGGAGGCAGGCGTTCCTCACCCCTATCCTGGCGCTGGGGCCCACCTCCAAGTGGAAGACGTGTCCCGGGGGTGCCTTCAGGGGCACGAGCATGCGGTAGACGGTGTAGCAGCCTTCGGGACCCCTGCCTTCAAAGCCGACGCCCACCCCGATGGCTGGCTGCAGGCGTGGCATGAAGTAGCTCTGGGGAACTGTCTGACAGGCGCTCAGAAGTTCATCAATCAGCTCCTCGACCACCTTGCACTTGTCTGCCCGGGTCTTCAGCGGCCAAATGGAGAACTCGGAGTAAAACCTGCTCATGTAGGTGACGTCACCAGGCTCTCCATGGCACACCGGCGCCCTCATCTCCCAGTTGCATTCGTTCCGTAGCTCAGCCAGTAGTCGAGCTTGCCTTTTCCTGTACCAGATGTGGCAGAAGAGAAGGACAAGCAGCAGTACAGCCAAGGCCCAAATTTTCCAGGACTGCAGTGCGGAGAAGTGCAAGCGTTGCGCCTGCATCCTGCTCTCCTCAGCAAACTTCTTGTCCATCTCCAGCAGCAGCTTTGCCATCTTCTCTTGCATGTACACCTCATACTGGTGCATGCGTTCGAGCGTGTCTGCATCCAAATCATCACCAACAGAAGGTACTCTCTGCGCCAACAAGGCGAAGACAAACGCCAAAGCCATGATCTGGAAGAGGTGAGAGAGGGGAGGTCAGCGGGGCTGGGTGGGAGCTCGCGCACGGCTGGGGGAGCGGGGCCAGGAGCCACAGCCCCTGGGGTCGTCAGGTAGGAGTAGGGGCGAGGGAGCTGGGAGGCAGCAGGGGCCGAGCCCAGCGCTGGTGGTGACTGCCCGGAGAGCCTCTCACAGGCTCCCTGAGCGCTCGCTGCCGTCACTGCGGGCTCCCAAACCCCTCGCGGGCCGGTGTTTGCGCCCGGCCCAGCACAGCCCTCCCCCTGCTGCTGCACTCACCGCTGGCCCAGGCCAAAGTGGAGCGGTGCTGCCTGCTGACAGCCTCAACAGCAGCCCCGCATTGTGACGCACTGTGATGTCACAGACGCCCCAGCCCCACCCTTTGGCCCCGCCCATCGTGGCCCCTCTCAGCTGCCCTGGGCTGCCATGGCCCTGGCATCGGCCCTGTTCTGAGGCACGTGGCCAGACCCGGCCTGTGGGTGCTGTGCTCGTCCTGTGTCATCCCAACTTAAGCTCCAAATATGTAATCCGTGGAAACTCATTTGGAACTGGATGAACTGGTGAAATACTGATTCCCAAAGATGATACCTGGAAAAATGAGACAGCGAATGAGAGACATACCTGCAAATGACCCAAAATTAATCTCTGAAATTACGCCGGGCAAATAACGAGGAAATGAAGTAAAATTTGAGTAGGAAATTTTAACAGTGGCTAATGTGGTATTTTTTTTAACACGGTGTTCTTTAAACAAGATAGGGGTTTGGCCTCTTCACCCTGGCAACAAGCAGGACCCAGGAAAATGGCCACAGGTTGTGCCAGAGGTGATTTTGGGTCGTCATAAGGAAAAACGGTTTCTCTCAGGGAGTGGTGAGGCACTGGTATGCCCTGTCCAGGGAGGTGGTGGAGTTGCCGACCCCGGCAGTGTTCAAGAGGCCTCTGGATGAGGAGCTACGAGATATGGCTTAGTGCTTGTGGTAGCAATGGTGATGGGTGGGCGGTTGGACTAGATGATCTTGCAAGTCGTTTCCGACTTTCTGGTTCTGTGATTCTATGTTGACTCTCTTGAATATTTTGGGCAAAACCATGACTATCTTATTACTGGCAGCCATAAACTAGTATCAGTTCAGGTCAAATGGATGTGATCCTTCCCCTGTAGCTTTCTAAGAGGTGAAAGAGAAACATGTAAATGCTGGGGTTATTAAAAAACAGTTTTCTTTCCTAGAGACCTAGATAAACTTTGCTTTCTGTGTTTGTTGGTTTTCAGTAAATACAGCAGAGAGTGGTATCTTTTTTCTATCCTAACAGCAGACGCACAACCTACAAGTCACGCATGGTGCACCATGGTTTTCCACCAGTAGGTAGGAGGTAATGCAGTGCTTCAAAGAGTTTGGCCTTTCCATCCATGAATTTCTGCAAGTGGCTTCCTAGAGCAGTTTGTCTTGTATCTGCTATTATGTTTGAAATGATAGGAAATCAATCAGCTCCTCCACTGTCTTGCACATGACTCTCCTGGTTTGCAGCGGCCAAATGGAGAACTCCGGGTAATACCTGCTCATGTTAATAATGTCACTGGGGTCTTCATGGCACACTGGCTCACTCAGCTTTCTTTCAAATTTTCTCCACACTTCATTTACATGTTGAATCATCATAGTCTCTTTTATTTCCCTATGCCATACAAACAAACAAAACAGCACATGTGAGCCTGTAACTGTTGTCTCATCAAATAGCTTTTATGGTGCAAATGCTTTGGAATTATTTATTTTGAGTTTTGGCAAACTGTATGCTTGTTCTTCGAAAATAGGTCATCATTCTTCTGGAATGTTTGTGCAACTCTTTATGATATCAGTGAATATTCCAGGATCTGAATCTGAACTGTAGTCTCTTGTTTGTGTGAATCTTTCTTCAAGTAGTTTTAAAATTTTCTTAAATAGTGTTATTGGAGTAAATAACTCTGATATTAAGAAGCAAGTTCCTGAAATGTATATTGCTGACAAGAAATGTATAGTGGTCTTACCTAAAATCTGATAGCCAAATCTTCCTGCTGCAGTAGGATAGCTGCCAGAAACTGGCTTTGGTTTTAAAGTAGAACCTGAAACTTCCTAGGGGAGACAGTCTAATTCTGCTATTGAAGACATCAGTGGAAGTCAGGTATTAAATAACCCAAAGGAGAAGCTTCAATTGAACTCATGAACCCAGAATAGGTTCATCATTTGTTAATGGAAGAAAGAGAAAATTGTGAAGTATTCAAATGAAGATTAAGATTCCCAAATTCCAGGTGCCAAAGTTTGGAATGCCCCTTAGAAAATGGACGGGCCCAGGGCTTAAAATCTGCTTTCCAAAAGTAGAAGTTGAGCCACACCAGCTAAGAATAACATCAGAAAGTGTTGGTATTGCTGTGGAACTTCCAGCATTAGAACTGCAATTTCTTTTGTCAGAGCCTGGTGAAGAAGGATCTATTCAGGGACCTGAGACGAAAGAAATCAAATCAAAGTAGCCGAGATTTCCTGTTTGGAGCTCATGCAGCCGGAGCTGCAACAATGAAAATCTGCATACAGAGGCATTTCGGCAGCCTTCCTTTCCCTCGGGAAACCTGGGAGAGAAGTGACCGAGCAGCAGCCGCCAGCTATGGCGACAGAAGCGGATGTGATGTCGGTGTTGCCAAGGCACAGCGGCCGCACTCATGCGTTTACAAAAAGCCTCAAGGCTCCTCAAGGAGTGAGAGGCCCGGGCCCGCCACTTTGTCTCGATCCGTCCTACACAAATGGGGGTGCGGACAGATGGGGGTGCGTGTTTTGGAGCTACTGTGGGCTATTTAAATGCAGAGTAACTGTTTGCCACCCGTTCACTTGATTATCTAGTGAGGCTTGTTTTCTCATTGGGATGGAGATAGCACTTGTGTTAGATGCGACCAGCTGAACAACTTACTCAGCCTAGTGGCTGACGTGAGGGAGGAAGTGGAGAGGATGAGGAGCATTAGGGAGTGTGAGAGGGAGACTGGTGGTAAATAAACAAAGTATTCTGAACCTGTGCTGATGAATATTGTAAATTCATCCTCCTAATGGCTATTAAATGACACTTGAAATCAAGAAGTAGTGAGGCTGACAGAAACCTATGTCACTTTCTGGATTGCTTCCTTCATTAAGCTGCAACAGAACAGTCAGAAACGAGGTGGTGGCACATGTGAAGGACTGTCCGGAGAAGGAAGTAATTAGTGTTACTTTGGCTTACAGATTGATGCTTTTTAACTGGAGAGAGAAGTAAAAGCATGGGAACAGTTACTGTCTTTGGCCTAGCTGGCAATTTTTAGTTGCTTTACATTTGATTACGTGCTACAGAATTTTTGATAAATGGGAGGAAAGTTGGCTGCAATGAGATGGGCTTACCCTACTTAAGTCAGATTCATGTATTTGTGTTACTTTTTTTCCTCACTGATGTCAGTCCCAGCTGTGCAGAAAAGGGGGACCTGACCATGCCTTTGCCAAGAACCCAAGTGACAAAGCCCTAAAATAATGTCTAATGAACAGAGTCAGCTTGAAGGTGGTTTCTACCTTTGTTAGTCTCAGTATGGACTGGAAATTCTTACAAAGCCTGCCCACTTCCAACTCTCTCATTTGCTAGAAAAGATATTTCAAGCTGAAAGGGAAAAGTGGTTTCTGTCCCCTTCTTTCTAGGACAGTTACACAGCTTAAGTCACTACCTGCCTCATTTTTCAAGTTCAGTTTATAGAGATCAGTATTAGAATACTTAACATCAACATGAGTGGGTACCTATCTACACTTTGTTCTAATTTCCAATCCCCATTGCCTGCAGCATAGCCAGTAAAAGTCTTTCCCCCATAAAATAAAGCCAAGACCTGTGTGGATCCTAACTTTAAAGGGAAGAAAAGCTCCAACACCCATTAATGTCAGTAGAAATTGTTAGAGGTCATAGTAGTCAACAATGTTGTGTTCAATATGAATGTTCCTTCCACACTTGCAGCAATAAATATTAATGCTTGTAATGCCATGGGTTGTGTTATTTGTGAACTTTAATGTGCCCAGAAGAGCTTTCTAAATATGAGCTACTCTATGGAATCCATAACAATCTAAACCCTTTTATTTTTGGTAATTTAGCAGAATGATCTTGTGCTGCTGCTGTAGCTGTTGGTTTTCAAGGCTTTCACTACCCAGAGAGAAATCATGTTAGACATAGTACTGTAGTTATTGAGAACACTGGCTGTATTACACAGCACACCTACTGTATCAAACTCCAGATATCCTTGGATGCAGACAAGATAATTTTTTAATCTTTTTCTGAGTCATGCTCGACAGCTGTATCACTGGTAGAGGCCACCAGAGTTACAGTGGATATGGCAAAATTATAATAGAAAATAAATTGTTTATTTATCAGAGAGGTGTGTTTTGTTTTGTATGTCTATTTTTTTTTTCTTTCTGTAGCTGGTCATCCCTTCAGTCTGTGTTTTTAGCACTGTTGTATAATCTGTTGAACCAGCTGCTACTTGCCATTGTTAACAACAGGATGTTGGAAGAAATAATCTTCTTGTTTTGATCCAGTTGTCTCACATTCCTAAAAACATTTTTCTTGGAGATAAAATATGCTTCATTGTCCTTATTAGTCTCATATATGGACTTCCTGCAGTGGCAACTCTGCTCTCTAGGGGACAGGTACACTTCAGTTCAAGAAATGTGAAAATGTGCAAGAAGACAAATATGAGGAGCATTATTGATGGTGGCTTTATTCATGTTGCATTTCTGGTTACTCTCTTATTCCGACCTCTTAAAAGATGGGGGAAGAACTTCTGAAGAATTCTTGCCCATAAGGAAATGGTTTGCATCAAAGGATGCTGCTGGAGTAAAGGAAACTCTGTTTATCTGTGCTCCAGGCCAAATTTCAAGTGGGAGTTAGTTGGGATGAGGCTGGGCATGTATGGTGTTGTTTCACAATCTGAATGAGGCGTAAGAAGAATAAGACCATTGTTTATTTTCCTTTCCTTATCCAGAAATGTACTGTCTAAAAAAATATTAAGAATCCCCCTAAGAATATTCAGAACATGCAGAAGAATGTACTCTGCCACCCAGAGGTTCCTAGAAAGCTTTGAGCATTGGACCCGGTTGAACTTCATGAGGTTCAAGAAATACAAACGCAAGATCTTCCACTTGGGTCAAGGCAATCCTCACTACCAATACAAGCTGGGGGATGAAAGGATTGAGTGCAGCCCTGCTGAAAAAGACCTGGGGTTACTGGTGGATGGGAAACTAAACATGAGCTAGCTATGTGCGCTCATAGCCCAGGAAGCCAACTGTGTCCTGGGTTGCATCAAAAGTGTGGCCTGAAGGTCAAGAGAGGTGATCCTGCACCTCTATTTTGTGCTGTTGAGGCTTTACCTGGAGTACTGTGTCTGAATGTACTGGAGAGATGTGGACCTGTTGGAGCGTATCCAGAGGGCCACAGAAATGATCCAAGGGTTGGAACACCTCTCCTGCCAAGTTAGGCTGAGAGAGCTGGAGCTGTTCAGCCTGGAGAAGAGAGGGCTGTGAGGTGACCTGATAGCAGCCTTTCAGTATTTAAAGGGGAGCTACAGGAAAGAAGGGAACAGACACTTTAGCAGGGTCTGTGGTGATAGAATAAAGGAAGGGAAATAGCTTCAAGCTTCAAGAGAGTAGATTCAGGTTGGATAAAAAGAATAAGTCTTTTAGAGAGGTGGTGAGGTGCTGGAACAGTTGCCCAGT